GTAGAACTTCCGTGTGTCGTTTACGCGGTACAGACGTTCGCGGCTCGCGATCTCGGTCTTCCTGCTGACGCTTTTTCCTTCGGAAAACCGAATTTTGTCTGTTCCGCGCTTGTCTATATCGCTCCACATTTAATCTCGTGCGGTGTTGCACAATTCTCGCCCGTGCTGCATTCTTCTCCTCTACTAGCAGTTTGCATTCGCTGTCAAACCAGTCATTTCTTCGGTCTGGGATTGCAGTACCTAGTACCACTGCAGCAGTACTACCTATGGCGAAACGGATGTCCTTCCAGTCATCTTCAAGAGTACATGCGCCAAGCTGCGTGGTAGTGCAGCTTCCAACTGCTGCGCGTAATGCTGGGCACCTCCGGCGTCCTGTAATTGTTCAATGTTGGGTCGCGGTGTTCGACTTCGACGGGTGTTATGCACCGTCGAGAGTTTTGAGCGCATACATACTGCAACTAAGTAGTGGTCCAAATCAATGTTCGCACTGCGATACGTGCGGACGTTGATAATGTCGGAGAAGAATTTTCCGTCCATTAGAACGTGATCGATTTGGTTTTCTGTGTGCTGGTCAGGTGATCTCCAGGTGGCTTTGTGGATATCCTTGCGGGGGAAAAGGGTCTTCGGACTACCATACCCCGAGAGGCTGCACAGTTCACGCATCGTTGGCCGTTGTCGTTCGATACGGCAAGCAGGCGGTTTGGCCCGATTGCCGATCTGTACATTACCTCCCGTCCTACCTGAGCGTTCATGTCACCGATGACGATTTTGACGTCCCGTTGCGAACAGCCGTCGTACAGCTGCGCATAGAACGCTTCTTTCTCGTCGTCGGGGGTCCATTGTTGCCATTTCCGAAAAGATAGCATGTTTGATAAGCTTTTACATAAACATATGTTTAAAAACCTTAAAAATTTACGTTTTGCTATTGAAGTTTTTAACATGTTCTTTAATTTTTTCTGAAAGAAAAATCCAGTTTCCTACAACTTTGTCTCAGACTTTATTTCGATAAGATGAGCCGTTTTTGCTATGATTTATTGTAAAAATAACGAATAGGGTATATGTACCAATTATGGCTAAACGTTCCTAATATGGTGAGTTTCAATTAAGGCCTATATGGATTCCATAGGCCAAAATTCCCTCCCCTTGGCGGCTAGTTTTTTAACCTGGACGTTGGTGGGCGGGCCTAATCTTATGCTTCATAGTGGAGCGTTGGAGACGGTTGGCATCGTTGGCTCATGCCGTGACAGAATAGCGTCATGAGCATGCGATGAGGATTACTGAGCTTCCCCTCTCTGATGAACCATTGCATAAGATTACCAAAGTTCTAGCCTGAAGTGATAGTATCACACTTGTTACTCCTTTATTTGAAAGCCACGTTGTAGTACGCTTACGTATAGGCACTGACGTTGGGTGCGATACTGGCGGGTTTTGCCGCAAATCACTCTTATTTTATTTATTTTTACGCAGATAGATTTATTTTGGTTTGCAAGGGAATTATACTATTGAAATATTTCAGAAAGTGCCCATCGGTGCTACTTCTATTTGCGTGACAAGCTTTCGTTGTTGTTTTCATTGAGGTATTACTCAGGGAACAATGTTAAACACCATTTTTGTACATGGTATTGCAACTTATCTTATATCTAGATAGAGCTGGAATTAGGGCGAAGCAGCTTTTGTATACATTGACTTCTCTCGATGATTTCTCGAAAGTCATTGCTCGCCCTGGCAAATCGACATCCCCAGCGATTAGGGGAAGACTTCCCCTACTCGATTGATATGTTGCTTTATGTCGGCGTGCCTTGAATTCGTAGAAATCATCGAGAGAAGTCATTGTTTACAAAGGCTGTTACGCCCTAATTCCAGCTCTATCTAGATATGTGCTTCATTTTGATTTGGGATAAGTGTTTGAACTATGGCTCGGGATTTCCACTGTGGCATGCTTCTATTGTGACGTAACCATACGTATTTTTGTGGTGTGACATAGTGGAAACGTGTGAGCGTAGTTGAAGCATATACCATATGTAATTTAAAAATTAGCTAGGAAAATAACTTCAAAGTGAAGCATTTTAGTCACTTGATGGTGTCACCAGGGACGAACTAATATATATTAAATATAGGTCAAAGTCAAAAACAATTTGAAACACTTTAAATTTTAGATTACATTCACAAGTGCAGGTACTTAATAAAGCATGGTAGGTAGATTAGAGATTTAAATTATTTATTAAATTAGACTAGAGATATCATAATCATCAAACGAACTTAAATAAGAAAATTTAGACAGCCTTGTAGCATTAAGTGGATTAACAGAAGAGTTAGGATGCGGAGGGTCCGCTTAGGGAGGCATCTAGCCTTTAAAGCAACTGGCAACTAGCCTTTTCATGTATTGTCTGTTTATTTTGATTATTGCTGTAAAATATCAATTTGGTATATATGTGAAAGGCAGAATCAGTGGGAGATGGATTTTCGGTTTCTTTACATTTAGCATCACTATGTGTCATTTCCTCAAAACCCCCCAATAACCCTTTCCTTTTCCCATGGCGTTCAAGTGATCCGCATAGACTATTCAGCCATTACCCGTCCTTTATCCTCGGCTTTGGATTGACTTGCGCTCCCATTGCCCCACCAAACGCTGCAAAATGAAAATGAAAATGAAATGGGGATTCCATAGGCCAAAATTGGAACTCTCCATTTAGAAACTTTGAACCATAACTGGTACATCTACTCTACGCCATTTTGAAAAATTAGGCGAGTCTATTCCGGCATAAACTTGGTTCATTGCCCCTAGTAAACAATTATACGAAGTTTCATGGAATTTTGGGAGGTAAAATATGTTGATTTTTCCACTATTTGGCTGCTCTTTTGTAGAAGAATTATATTGCTTTTGCAATATTTGAAGAAAAAAAAAATCAAGTAGGGTAAGTGTGCCAGATTATGGGCGTCTAATTGTCTAAATCTAAAATTTAACATTTTTTTCATGTTTTATTAAATTTAGTTCGATACAAAGTTAGAACACATATTTTGGGATATGCTTACGTAAATAAAACCATAAAAAATTAATTCAAATTTGCTGGAGCACAATACAATAACAATATCTGGAACGTGCATTCGGTATTTGCCACGTTTTGTACTTGGAAAGCTTTAAAATTTTCGGTTTTAAGACCCAACATTAAAAAATTCAAACCAGGTGAAGTTCGATTCGAAGCTTATCGTATTCCGACATTTTATCACTTTTTAGATTCTAGAACCTGGAGAAAAAAAACGCTTTTCAATATACCGGGATGTTTATAATCATTATTCGTTCTATACAATTGAATAGGTACTAAGAAAATATTTAAGGATTTCAAACCAGTTTTATGATTCCAAACCTAAGCGCGAAATTAAACTTTCAAGATTCTGGTAATGAAAAACAAACAACCCGGAGTAACGAACAGGCATGGACCATCATTTGCATTCATTTCGTGCATTCATTTGCCCCTAACTTTTTTTATCATGAGAATTCCGCAAAATAATGTATGGAGCTTTTGTTATTAGCTACAACTTTTTTTAACAACTCAAATCCGTATCTCTTATGCATGACGAACCAAAGCGAATGTATTTTACATTCACTGAAAAACAGTAAAAAGTTCTACCCGCTCTAATTCGTGACGCATAAGAGATACAGATTTGAGTTATGGGCATAAGTTGCAGCTAATAACAAAGCCTACTAAAGCTCTATACATCATTTTGCGGAATGCTGTTAAAGACAAAAGTTAGAAGCAAATGAATGCATGAAATGAATGTAAATGATTTTCCATGCCTGGTAACGAATTTATTTAATTGACACTGTCTTCCACCAGAGGTTGCACAAATTGTTGATAATTATAATAACACCCTTGTAACATGATATTTATTCGCAGTCTGAACATCCCGGACTTGTTTCATGCTCTGTATTTCTTTATTTTTGTCGGGATTGAAGTGTTTGTGTTGATTGAAACAACAAGTAGTTTGTTTTCTTCAAATTGTTACTTCATTAATTATTATGCTCCATAATTTGATTACAAGATTAACAAGTAGCACAGTAGAAAACATTACACTTTCTAGTCACGATTAAGAGGTAGCATTTGAAAATAAGTACTCATTGTTATCCTGTTCTATTTATGTTTTGAAATTTGTTATTTATCGCTAACAATACGATATTATGATTAATATTACCCTTACTATAAGTAAAGTTTGTAGTAACACCATTACAAAGCCATTATGTATCGAAATAAATACCTAACACAGATCAAAGGTGTTGGAACCTTGACTTGGAACAGATATAATTCTACCAAGAAATTGTGTACTGACAACATATTTCTTTGTAGAAGTGAGTATTCCAACAACGCAATCAAGTACATCCTAATCCAAAACAAGATAGAATCAGATAAAAACCAAAATTTCATGACGCTACACAATATTTCCAGTCATTCTCTGTGCTCATAAAAACCTAAGCAATAAAATCTAAAAGGCAAACATCAAAAAACCTTGCACTCAAATGGCAGCACGGTTTCGAAGATTATATTGCTTTTTTTAGTAGCACAAGATTTTAATAAAAACTTTTTATGTTACCAGTATAAGTTTTCAGTCTTAGGGGAGTTGCACATAAATACACACACAAAGTCGGATTTTACATACTAATACAACTTACCCATACAAATCGATACTGAATAATTTGCAGTGGAAAAAACTTCAAGCATAATTTAGAAAACAGACAGGCAAAAGTTCACAGCGCACTCGTTTTCCTATACAGAAATATGATAGCTTTTTATGAAAACTCGTAAACTTCCGGACCCCTTCCACTCACTGCCACTGGTTCGCACCCCCCCTCACCCCCACGAACTCGCTTGGCAGCGCTGAGGAATGATTTTTTTTTCCCTTTAAGCTAGTCCCCGCTGCCGTCCGTTGCCGTTCACGTTCCTTCGATTCCACTTCCAGTTCTACCCAACATCCCGATACCCTGCCGGAGTGCCCACGAGCCTTACCGTTATGGTGGTGCAGTCGAAAATTTTATGAAGCAGAGCTTTGTTCGGAATGCTAGCTGGTGGGAACAGGGGACACAGATCGTCGGACTTATTGAAGCACAATCGACAAAACTGCCCCTCATTGTGTTCCGGGCGTAAATCGCTACCGAACATTTTCGGCCGATTTTTGCCACCTTCCCGACGGACAACACACCACGTTCGTCGATCCACGCGACGGACAGTTGTTTAAAAACACAGAACCACTTTAAATTTTCTAGGCACCGGATAATTGCCAACTTTAGAACAAATTTAACGCGACGGCAAAACGACCGACGACGGAGGCAGTCATCTTTTTCCTTCAACTTCACTTTGGATTTTGACTTGACTGACAATCGCTTCTCACACTTTGACGAGTGTTCGTAGGTCTTTCACGCACACTCTGGGGAGAGGCGGTGTGCCGTTTGTGTGCGTGTCTATGAACTGAGTGCGAAAGCGAAATGCGAACAAGAGGAGAGAAAGAGCCAAGTTTGTTGACATTTTGGCGATACCACAGATGCGAGCAGGTCAGATATGTTACTGGGAGAGGACGATTATAAAAAAGATTATGGCGAGATGGACCAACTGTGATCTTAGCCTGTCGAAAGAACACAAAAAAAAGATGTCCATGTACCATGTACGTTGCTTGACCTTATTGTGCATTTCCCATCAATCTGGACAAATAAACGATTTCCCTTTTTAAAAGCACAAACGAAGTGACAGACGACTTACTGGCGAAGAAATCCATTTAAATAATGTGGTTCACTGTAATAGAATTTTCTTGGAAGCTTGTGCCATCATCCACCAGATGGGTTAGTTTTTTTGTTTTGATTTGAACAAAGCTGATTTTGTGTACAATGATTCTTTGACAGTGTGCAAAGAGTGCGTATCATTTTGTCATTTTTTTTATGCATTTCAGTTTTGAGTAGAGTGAAAGAGATAGAACCAACAATCAATACGAAACTAACGATTTTAAATTGGCTCACTACTTGACTAGCCTATTGGTCCCAAGTAAACGATTAACGTATCCCATTCTAGTCGAAATTCTAGTACTACGCAATGTTTGGTTTTGATTCGCTATGAAAGTTTGACAGGTAAAATGAGGGGTTATTGGTTTTTCCTATGTTTCGAGGGGTGAATCGATTAGCTTGGGACCGAAGAGAGTACCAAAGCTGAGCCAAAAAGTTGAGCACATTTCTTCGGGACCTTCTGGTCTTAGAGTTACCTCTATGATAGAACCAAAACATTCTAGTACATTTGGTGAAAATGCTAGTTCAATCCAATAGTAGTGTTGCCATGTGGTACAATCCAGTAGTAGTGGTGTTGCCATGTGGTACACTGAAAAATTGCAATAGCAGGTTAGTCACCAAAGTTTTCGAGCCGCTCCGTCTGTCACTTCGTTTGTGTTTAAAAGTGTGAAGTGATAAAAGCAACCTCTATGGTCGCGCCCCCACAGACATCGCTCATCGAAGTTGGCCCGGCGCTGCGATCGGAAACGAAGAGGGGGTCTTCCGAATCTCCCAATCAGGCGAGTATAATTCAAGATCTGTCTTGGAACATCCCCTGTCTGTTGTCATTGCCAATTCTAGATCGCAATGCAGCCCTCGCCCAATGACATTTATATAAGGTCTGGGCCAACAGGCAGCTTGCTGGTGTTAGAAGCAAAAATTTTGTAAACATTGCTGAACATCTGCGAACAGATAGATATACGTCACTGCCAACATACTGAGAACAGATAGAAATACGTCACTGCCAACAGCTGTTTCGTGTAAAAAGATAAACATTGCAATGTAATACGAACACCACTATCCATTTGCACATTTCACTAACACCAATAAGCCCCCCGCATAAGCAAGAACCATAAATTGACCTTACCTAAAATGGTTATAAATTGTTTATAATCCCTGCTAAACTTCAACTGAAATGGTTATGGAACTTTACATGAACGTTTAATGATAAAGTTTTAACCTTAAGTATTATAGTTTTTTGGAAGTGGACCTTACAAATAATGGGTTGTTAAGAACCATTACCATTCAAAATTCTTGTTTTCTCCATACATTTTCGCAAAGAAAACTATACTAAAACCTTTTAACTTATGGTTTGAGAACATTAATGGTAATGGTTATGGTAACCAGTAAGGTCCATGAATGGTTTTGTAACATCGATCAACTTTAGATGGAATATATCGCGAATTGGTTGCCTGCAAATTACTGATTACCAATTCACGATATATTTCACGTAAAGTTGAGCGATAATACAAAACCATTAATGGACCTTACTGACTACCATAACCATAACCATTAATGTTCTCAAACCATAAATAAAAACGTTCTAATATAGTTCTCTTTCCGATAATGTATGGAGAAAACAAGAATTTGGAATGGTAATGGTTCTTAACAACCCATTATTTGTAAGGTCCGCTTCCAAAAAACCATAATACATAAGGTTAAAACTTTATCACACAAACGTTCATGTAAAGTTCCATAACCATTTCAGTTGAAGTTTAGCAGGGATTATAAACAATTTATAACCATTATCGGTAAGGTCATGTGATGGTTCGCGTTTATGCGGGCCTTTGGCCCTTATATAAACGTCATTGGCCTTCGCCAGGCTACTTATCGTCAAAGTCAGGCCATCTGCATGTATATTACCAGAACGCTGGTGGGATGAATTCCAACATCGATCATTATCGCTTAGCAGTTTCGGATCGTTGTTTCGACGTCATCGCTCTCACTCTGGCTTGGCTCGATATTCGCACATTGTCAAATCAAGTGTTTGGTTCCGAATACGAGATTTTTCGATGCGATCGAAATCCGCACAACAACCGCAAATCTACTGGTGGAGGCGTTCTCATAGCGGTCGGCTTTGGATTGAAGGCAAAAGTTATCGAAAACGATTCATGGAATTGTGTGGAACAAGTTTGGATTGCCATTAAGCTCGCTGACCGCACTTTGTTTTTGTGTGTACACGGATAGAAATCTCCTTATACCTTTTGGCAAATTTCCATTGCTGATTATTCATAAATTGTATATGTCGACTAATAAGCACACGCCTTGCAAAAAGTTAATAAAGATCATATGTCAAATAAAATGTATAAGCGGTCACACATACCTTTTATGCATTCTAATAGGACTTATGTGGTTTGTCTTATGGAATGTATAAGCACAAACGAAGTGACAGACGACTAACTGGCGAAGAAATCCATTAAAATAATGTGGTTCACTGCAATAGAATTTTCTTGGAAGCTTGTGCCATCATCCACCAGATGGGTTAGTTTTTTTGTTTTGATTTGAACAAAGTTGATTTTGTGTACAATGATTCTTTGACAGTGCGCAAAGAGTGTATCATTTTGTCATTTTTTTATGCATTTCAGTTTTGAGTAGAGTGAAAGAGATAGAACCAAAACATTCTAGTACATTTGGTGAAAATGCTAGTATGTATAATTCAGTAGTAGCAACAATCAATACGAAACTAACGATTTTAAATTGGCTCACCACTTTAGTAGCCTATTGGTCCCAAGCAAACGATTAGCGTACCCTATTCTAGTTGAAATTCTATTACTACACTATGTTTGTTTTGATTCGCTATGAAAGTTTGACAGATAACATCAGGGGTGTGTGGATTCATGCAGAACATGCAGGGGTGAGTGAAATAGCTTGGGACTGCTTGGGACCGTTGTTCTGGTACTGAGTGAGCCAAAAATAATAATGATTTTCTTCGGGACCCAGTGGTCTTAGAGTTACCTCTATGGTAGTAGTGCTGCCATGTGGTACAATCCAGTAGTAGTGGTGTTGCCATGTGGTACACTGAAAAATTGAAATAGCAGGTTAGTCACCAAAGTTTTCGAGCCGCTCCGTCTGTCACTTCGTTTGTGGTATAAGGCTGATGCTTTGGCAAAAATGTATAAGTGAAACACATGAATTAAATAATTGATTTTCGTTTCGTGTAGTTTACTTTCCTCCGGATCGAACTCGTGACTCTACGCTAATTGAATCCCACAGTCAATTTGAGCTATAATGGAGATCGCTACAGCTGCTGACGAGATGATAATCATTGTTGACTTCAATCTACCTGCAATTTCTTGGCGATCATCTTACGGCGGATTCTTGTATCCGGACCACGACCGTTCTACGTGGTTCTACCAACAATCAATACGAAACTAACGATTTTAAATTGGCTCACTACTTGACTAGCCTATTGGTCCCAAGCAAATCGATTAACGTACCCCATTCCAGTCGAAATTCTAGTACCACACTATGTTTGTTTTGATTCGCTATGAAAGTTTGACAGATAAAATGAGGGGTTATTGGATTTTCCTATGTTTCGAGGGGTGATTCGACTAGCTTGGGACCGAAGATAGTACCAGAGCTGAGCCAAAAAGTTGAGCACGTTTCTTCGGGACCTACTTGTCTTAGAGTTACCTCTATGGTTCTACATTTCACTCTGGAGCTGTAAGCCTTTTGGATTATTATATTGTGTATACAGTATCGCCACTCTGAAGCAAATTAACCACGTGGTCCGCTGGCTGTATCTCCGTTGATAAAGACTGTTCCACACCATCCTCCTTTAGTTATTGCACTTGAAGGCAACCAAATTCCTGAGGTCATTCCACCCCCCCCTAGAGGTCTCCTACGATTTCCGAAATGGTGACCACGACAGTATCGAGGAACTTCTTTCGAATTTGGACTGGCACAGGATACTCGTCCCTGCCGATGGCAATGCAGCTGCCCAAACGCTCTCGCATATTGTGGCTTACGTCATTGAGCGACACGTTCCGAAAAAAGTTCCTAAACAAGGTAAACATCATCCTTGGCAAACAAGTGAACTCCGTATGTTAAAGTCTTCCAAAAGAGCTGCGCTTAGAAAATACACCAGGTACCACACCCTACAACCAATCAATACAAAATAAAGATTTTAAATTGGCTCACTACTTGACTAGCCTATTGGTCCCAAGCAAACGATTAACGTGCCCCATTCTAGTCGACATTCTAGTACTACACAATGTTTGTTTTGATTCGCTATGAAAGTTTAACAGATAACATGAGGGGTTAGTGGATTTTTCTATGTTTCGAGGGGTGAATCGATTAGCTTGAGACCGAAGATAGTACCAGAGCTGAGCCAAAAAGTTGAGCACGTTATTTCGGGACCTTCTGGTCTTAGAGTTACCTCTATGCTACAACTCAACCCAAGTAACCAAAAGTTCCGCATTCAACGATTAAAATCACTTTCAAGTTCCACAAAGTTCAAATAAAGTTCCAACCGAACCTTCATGTTCCATAAAGTTTAAATCGAGGTTTAAATAAAGTTCCGACACAACTTTCAAGTTCCATCAAGTTCGAATAAAGTGCCGACAGAACTTTCAAGTTCCATAAAGTTCGAATAAAGTTCAGACAGAACTTTCAAGTTCCATAAAGTTCAAATAAAGTTCCGACAGAACTTTCAAGCTACATGAAGTAATCCGCACAAGTCTTTATTAAAGAGCCTAAATTTATAAAGAGGCGACATGTCAAAATTGGAACAATCGATTGTCTGTCAAAGTCATAGGAAAAGTCATTCCAATCGAGCAGAAGACCTGTCAAATGGATATATAAGATGTCGTCTCTTTATAAATTCAGGCTCTTTAGATAACACCAACAGTTGGCGGGACAACAACTCACTTTAATATATCTCAGATGACGTAGCGGTTTGTGCTGGGGCTCTCACGTAGAAGGACTGGGTTTAATTCTTCAAACAGCTCCAATTCTACTATAGAGGTAACTATAGGTCGTATGAATAAAAGCGTTTACTTTACTTTTCCCGTAAGAAAAGGACGGCAAAGTAAAGTAAAATCTTTTTATTCATACGGCCCTATAAGACCAGAGGGTCCCGAAGAAACGTGCTCAATTTTTTGGTTCAGCTCTGGTACTCTCTTCGGTCCCAAGCTAATCGATTCACCCCTCGAAACATAGGAAAATCCACTAACCCCTCATTTTATCTGTCAAACTTTCGTAGCGAATCAAAACAAACATAGTGTAGTACTAGAATTTTGACTAGAATGGGATACGTTAATCGTTTGCTTGGGACCAATAGGCTAGTCAAGTAGTGAGCCAATTTAAAATCGTTAGTTTCATCTCGAGTTTCATATTGATTGTTGATACAACCATAGAGGTAACTCTAAGACAAGAAGGTCCCGAAATAACGTGCTCAACTTTTTGGCTCAGCTCTGGTACTCTCTTCGGTCCCAAGCTAATCGATTCACCCCTCGAAACATAGGAAAAACCAATAACCCCTCATTTTATCTGTCAAACTTTCATAGCGAATCAAAACAAACATTGCGTAGTACTAGAATTTCGACTAGAATAGGGTAGGTTAATCGTTTGCTTGGGACCAATAGGCTATAGCCTATTGTGGTGAGCCAATTTAAAATCGTTAGTTTCGTATTGATTGTTGATACAACCTCTTACTGTTTTGCTGTGTAATAATTGCTCATTTATGAGTAAAATTTTACTCATTTTTTGGATACTCCCACTTTCCCTCAAAAATACATACTTTAAAGTCACTGTTGAGTATTTTGCGGTTACCGTGAAACCAAAACACAGTGAGTCGTCTGTCGTCTGATATTCTCGATAATCTTCAAAATGCAGCTTAAAACCAAAGAAATTTATATGAAAACTATTACATTTGTTGCAATTTTCGTCTATCTTGCAAGCAATAGTTGCACAGCAAATGAAATCGAGGTAAGAATGTCACCTATTTTTCCGATGGTTCAGTAAAAACTCGAGCTTAAATTTTGTAGCTCCCGAAACAGTTTGTCGCAAGCAGTTCGCACACAAACAACTGGGCGGTTCTGGTAGATACGTCACGGTTCTGGTTCAACTACCGACACATTGCCAATGTCCTGTCAGTGTACCGTTCGGTCAAACGGCTAGGCATTCCGGATAGCCAGATTCTGCTGATGATTGCCGATGACATGGCCTGCAATCCGCGGAATCCCCGGCCGGCTACGGTGTTCAACAATGCGAACCAGCACATCAATGTGTACGGAGCGGATGTGGAAGTGGACTACAGGGGGTACGAGGTGACAGTGGAGAATTTTGTCCGTTTGCTAACCGGAAGAAATGAGAATGGAACGGCTAGGTCGAAACGGCTGCTGTCCGATGCTGGGAGTAATGTGCTTATCTATCTGACCGGGCATGGAGGGGATGGGTTTTTGAAGTTCCAAGATTCCGAAGAGATCACCAATCAGGAATTGGCGGACGCAATTGAGCAAATGTGGCAGAAACAGAGGTACAATGAGCTATTCTTCATGATCGACACGTGCCAGGCGGCATCGATGTACGAGAAATTTTACTCACCGAATATACTGGCCGTGGCGAGCAGTTTGGTGGGTGAAGATTCCCTATCGCATCACGTCGATCCAGCGATCGGGGTCTACATCATCGATAGGTATACGTACTATGCGCTGGAGTTCTTGGAGAAGGTGGAGGTCAATAGCAAGAAAACGATGGGGGAATTTGTGAGTGATCAAAAAACACGACTAACTTTTCAGAATTAGCATTGATTGTGTTGGGGTTTTTTCAGCTCTCAGTTTGTCCTAAACGAGTTTGCATTTCGACAGTCGGAGTACGGAAAGATCTGTACCCCAAAGATCCCTACAAAGTACCCATCACCGATTTCTTCGGTTCGATCAGGCCAACAGAAATAACGTCGGGTGTTGTAAATGTAACACTTTCCACTGTTCCGGAGGAGCAGTAAGTATTGATGGAAATACGAGAAATGATAGGTACGAAATTTCAAATAATTTATTTTCAGCTTTGAACAGAAACCCATAAGCAAACCACATGCAGCATTGTTCTACGAACAATTTCCATCAAAATTGTTTGTCTAAAAAATCTAGTCCAGTATTCCCAAGGTAAGGACCTTTCTCTAACTGTCTACGGTTATTTAATAAATTCAACAAATCCAATCGGTCCAAACGAAATCACTGTCCACGTGATCACGCTGAGGAACTGTTTTTGATCCGAATGGTCCCTCCAGCGCTGTTATATTCCGTTACAAGAGAATTTTCCGCTTCACCTATTTTCGTCAGCGATGCAATGAATTTTTGATTTTCCAAATTGTCGTCACATAGGTTCTTAATCGCTAGAATGCTCCATTCTTTGATGACTGCAAATAATAAACTCAATGGTTAGTTCCCGGGAATTACATTTAACAGGATATGGATCTTACGTGGATTTCTCGCGTCCAAATTGGTACATTCGAGAATCGTTGCCATAATCTCCATCTCTCGGGCTAAATTTTGATTTTTCTTGTTCTTGTATGACAGATTTGTTAAAGCTTTTACGAGGGAAGATTTCAGCGAATAGGAAATGTCTTGCTCAATGTTAAGCTCGCTATTGCCTTGCTTTACCTTGAGGATTTCTTCAATCTGTTGAACTGGGGTAAATATGTTAACGTTTTCACTTTTGCCAAAAACTTGCAGCTGTCGTAGGAGACCTGAAATAGATTGGTAATGATCTTAGTTGAAGTCGTTCCGATTGAATCTTAGGAAAAGTGCTTACATCCCATGTTCAGGAAAAGCGCCCCGTCCGCCCTCAAAAACGATCCATATGGCTCGACGCACGTTGCATCGGAAAGTAGCACCAGCAGAGTAAACACTTCGTCGGTTTTCTCGCTATCTAGATAACTATCGTCCGTCTTCAGAACGCAATCGGATTTCTTCTTGAAATCAACCAACAAGTGCTTGAATAAGTCCTGCTGCAGTGGTCTATTCCGCCGGTCATCCTGTCGTATGTACTCGGTCAGATAGCGTATGAACAGGATACGCTTTTCGAAGTCGATCCGCTCATATCCGTCGACAATTTCGTTGCTTTCGCACATCAGGTACTCGAGAAAAATGCCAACAAATTCGGGTGTGTCCTTCTGAGCTAGTCGATTAGCTTCCACATTGGTCAGAAGAACTGCCAGCAGCTCCTGAGCGTCCAAACCAATGTTAGCCTTGTATATGAATGCATTGTAAACGATCATCGTGGCAGGATTAATAAAACTAGTATTATGTTCAATGCATTTCAGTAGGTAGTCTTTGAATTCTTTCAGAATCATCTCCTGATTGGGTTTGTTCTGAACACATAAGTTGGCCAGCAGTTGGAGGCAGTTTAACCTGATATTTTGCTGAATAGTGTCATCGTTCAAAATCCCCTTAACGGTGACAAGGAACGTTTCTTTGGAGATAATTTCATTTTGGAACGTTTCTCCCACAGCACAGGATCGCTTCAGCAGATTCAGACATTTGATGGCAATCTTGTTCTGCGAATCGTTCCCTGCGTGACAGGCCACGAAGGTATCGAAAATTTTGTCCGATTCACTTTTGAATTGATCACAGCTTAAGGAGCTGCAATGATATTGAGAACAATGAAGTTGTACAAATATAGCTCAAAAGAAGCCTGACTTACCTTATATTCAACTCGTTCAAGCCATTAAGCGCAGCCTCGAAGTCTTTATCCGAAACCTGTTTGGTTACCTCCTCCATGTTGTTACAGTAATAATTTTCCAGTAACTATTATATGGATGCTGAACAGAAGAGATATTCCAAACTTCTGACCAGGAAATGTTCCAAGATGACCTCTACGCGTGTTGAAATGTCAAACACTAGTTTTTGTTTACAGTCGCTGCAGTTTGACACATGACACACACTGAAAACAAATCATGCATTGATGTGTAAATTATTTCTCTCTTCACGCGCTTCACGCTCATCGCTGAACCCTTGGCTGAACCAAAACGTAATCCTACACTGAAACAAAATCCATTGGAAATAGTACTATATTGCTGGTTAAATTAAATACCTTCACCAATAGATTTTTGCAGGAAACAATTTCATTTACTTTTACTATAATTTCTATCAGAATTACTATGCATTTTGGTCACACTTGTATAGTTGTTGTATAGTTTTTGTCTCGGTTTTTGTATAGTGCTCATAATTATAATACAAATAATGCTCATGTTCATAGTTTGTCATACAAGTGTGTTATAGATTATTTTACAGGATACAATATTTTTTTAGTAGGTGTTTCAATTGCTGAAAAGTTGGTGAAAATTCAAATGACCGTTATCCGTAAGAAATCAAAGAAATGGAATCTTGTTATTTTCTATCATTAAATGGGGTTAACGGAACTAAGTCTGTACAAGTTGGGGATAAATTTTCCCATTTTTTAAATTTTCCACATATATAAACTTTTACCGAACAGTTCCGCAATTGAAAAATCCGGTAAAACCTTATTGACTGAAAGACTTGACCTTCTTGGCAGTATGCTTCAGGTCGTTGTGATGCTGAAATACGAACCTCTCCTCAAGGCCCGTATGGATCAGCGAAACCTCCAGATATTCCCGCAGGATACTAATATAAGCATCATTATCCCGTAGATTTTCACGAGGCTTCCCACTCCACCCCACGAAATACGGACGATTCGTGCAAGAAACTTCCGGATCATCGATTCGTTGCAACTACAAGCAGACTTTCAAGCCAAAGATCTGCAACAGTTCTTCAACTTGGATGATATTTATTAACGCTAAAACCACCCTTCTGACCTTTGAGTTGAAAAACGTAGACCTACACTAGACTGGTCTACAAAAATAAAAGTTCTAATTTTCCACGGGCCAACTCCTAGATTTGTGCCTTTAGGTGAGAAAACCATTATCAGAAAGTTTCAGTACATTTGGTCCTAAGATGAGCTGGCGCTTTTGGTTGGAATTTTGTATTTTATCCAAATTCATAAAATACATGACAAAATGACACTCCTACACTCTATCGATAACACAAAAGTTTCCCTATTCCCGATTTGATTCAGATTCTTAAAATTTTTAGTTCAGTTTATGAGTAACAACTTTGCTGAAGATTGCATCATGAATCCAGTTAGTTTTATGCTTTATGATATTTGCTTTTGAATGTATATGAGCATTTTGTATCTGAAAATTTCAACCAAATCTCCTATATGAACATTAAAACAAAACCGCCAGCCCGTGTAGCGTCAAAAAGAGCTGAAACATTCAGAGGGTGCTTTTCTCACCGACTGACACGAGTCTGGATGTTTTATTTTTAGTGGTAATCTAGTTGATACGTTGCGTAAGCTGCCTGTATTTTGTTGCAATATACGAGCAGAATGCACAAAATTAATTAATATATCCATTATACTAACTTGATTCGTGATGCTGTCTTGGGCAAAGTTGTTCCTTATGGTTTAAGCTACATGTGCTGAAATTCTGAGCTTAAGCGAGTTTGCTCAACCACAAAAGAGTGAAGGAATATTATTTCTCCATACATTTCAACCAATATCCCCATATCAATTTTAAATAAAAAGCGCCAGTTCGTTTTACATCCGAATGAGCCAAAATTTCCAGAGAGTGGTTTTCTCACCTAATGGCACAAATCTAGGGGCTGGCCCGTTGATAAAAATCATTAAAACCTTCCCCCATATAAATGTGAGCCAGTCTAATGTACACGCTCCCGAGAGAACCATGTCCGTCCGTGATGAACGGACCACATGGATCACTCAACCGATTAAGCAGGCTATTGCGTTAAGAGAGCTTGCCTTCAAGCTCTATTCACGTAATCCAAATAGGAAGAAAAGCGATAATTAATGGCTCGACTACACACGGAAGCGCGATCATGCGAGTTCACTCATCTTCCCTGCCAAAAAAAAGTTACGCGGAGCGGCATTTCGATTCGAAGAAATTATGGTGCAACCTCAGGAGGGAAGGCATCCATAACTCGTCGAAACAAATCCAGGCAGAACAGCAGACGAGGTCAACGCAGATGAACTCAACCATTTCTTTTGTGATGGCCACCGACAACTAAGGAGTGGGAACCAAGATCATGAATTCAATTTTCATCACACTAACGTTGATAAAGTCTGCCGGAAATGCTACTGGCTCAGACGGTATCCCAATTTCGTCCATCAAACTGCTATGTCCTTGGCACGCCATCAATCTGGATACAGGAAAATATTCGGAACGATGACTGGCAAAAGTGGTTCGAGACGTCTATGACAATCGCGACAATGGACAGGTGATCCGTGACGCAAAGCGATCTAGCTGGATGGATTTCTTGGATTCAATCGTCGAATCCCAATCGTCGAGTGAATTGTGGAATCGCGTAAACACTCTGAGTGGCAAGCGGCGGTCTACTCCACCTACTATCCAAGCTCATGGCACCTCGATCTCAGAACCGAAGGACATCGCCGACGAATTAGGAAACTATTTTGCCGGCCCGTCTGCTGTCAGTGGCTACTACAGCGATTTCGTCCAGCGCGTCAAACCTTCCATTAGCAGCATTCGCGACTTGCGAATTCCACCCGATGTTCCTGCTCTCCAGATCAACGAAACTCTTACATTCCGGAAGCTTCAATTTGCCCTCGGCAGCAGTAGTGGTAAATCTGCCGGGCCGGACGAGATTGGATACCCGGTGTTAAAAAACCTCTCCCTCGACGGAAAAACGAGACTACTCGCGCTCTTCAACGATCTACATATATGGCTCACTGACTCGTATCTGGACTTCTGGAAACAAAGCTTGGTTGTGCCCATTCCGAAGAACAACACGGCGAGTGAAGAAGCCTCCTCCTTTAGGCCGATTGCGCTCACTTGCTGCGCGGAAAAAGTGATGGAGAGAATGGTAAATCGCTGTCTTAAGCAGTTCATGGAGTCAAACAGCCTCATTGACGAACGGCAGCATGCGTTCCGGCAAGGACACGGCTCCTCCACTTACGTTGCAGCCCTCGGGAAAGTACTTAAGGAAGCCCAGGACAACGGTCACCATGCGGAGTAAGTCTCCCTTGATATTTCAAAGGCGTTCAAGAGGACATGGACACCTGGTGTCATCAGGCAGCTCATCGGCTGGGGCCTCGAAGGTCACATCACACATTTTGTACGGAATTTCCTCCTTGATCGTAACCTTCCAGGCGACTGTCGGGTACACTCGCTCGGATCCGTTTCCCGAGGAAACTGGAGTGCCCCAGGGATCCGTCATAGCGGTAACGCTATTCCTGGTGGCAATGAACGGGGTATTCAGTGGATTGCCCAAGAATGTGCACGTAATCGTTTATGCCGACGACGTACTCATCGTCGTAACTGGACGAACGACTAAGCAGACCAGGAACATAGCTCAAGCAGCAGTCTCCGCCGTCAGCAGGTGGGCGCTTTCGGTTGGTTTCCAGCTCTCCGCTCCAAAGAGTGTACGATGCCATATCTGTCACTCAGGCCATCTGATTCGAGGACCACCGATCACCATCCAAGATCATCGATTCCGCTCAAGAAAACAGTGCGTGTTCTGGGGGTAGTACTGGATCGCACCCTAAGCTTCAACCAGCACTTCAGGATGGTGAAAGAAAACTGTCGTAGCTGCATCAACATAGTCAGGACAATCTCCCGCCCGCATCGCTCCAGCAACCGTGAGATCTGCCTTCGTGTCGCTCGGGCTGTTATTGACAGTCGACTTTTCTACGGCCTCGAAATAACCTGCTTAGCCACCGAGAAGCTCAACCACATCCTCGCTTCGGGAGACGAACCAGCCCAGGGCTGAAAGTCTCCTTAATAAAGATATAAAAAAAATCCTCGCTCCGGTATACAATACCTACGTACGCGTCGTATCCGGCCTTCTCCCTTCCACGCCTGCAGACGCTGCATGTGTGGAAATCGGAATCCTCCCTTTCCGCTATCGATCTGCTGCGAAAGCCGCTGCCCTCGCTGCTAAGACATCCGGGAACGAAAGGGTCTTTCTCCTCAACTAGGGGAACAGAGCCCTCCGCACTGCAGCCAACCGTGACCTCCCCCCGGTGGCCAGGGTCCACTGGCATGGAGAGAAGAGTTGGCGATCAAACGTCGTCAAAATAGATAGCGGATTAAGAGTGGATTCCAAGCCGGAGATAACTCTGTAGCTTTGAGACGCTCTGTTGCAGAGCTTCTCGGGTCGGTTTATCCGGGGCACGTTCATCGCTTTACGGACGGATCGCGGTCGCGGGTTGGAGTTGGACTCGGAGTGGCAGGACCGAACTCTGCAACGAGACAAAGTCTACCGGAAGAGTGTTCCGTCTTTTCCGCTGAAGATGCAGCTATTCTAGACGCAGCCATAACTCCGGCAGATCAACCGATCCTCGTATTAACTGACTCAGACAGCGCCATCCAAGCGCTGGAAGCCGAAGCCCCGAGCCACCCCTGGATACAAGCCCCGGAAACGAGGCTGCGGACAGACTGGCGGGATCTGGTGCATCCCATCCCCGCTACACCAGGAACGTACCCCTCCTAGACGTCAGGCGTTGGATTGTAAATACCATTATGGAAGCCTGGCAGTAGGAATGGTTCCAGTCGCGGACCACTTTCCTGAGGAAGATCAAGGAAACCGTACGCTCCTGGCTGGACAGCCAAAAGTACAAGGACCAGCGGATCATCTCAAGACTCCGGACCGGCCATTCGAGGATTTCCTGTAATTTCGGTGGGACACCTTTCCGCAAGGTCTGTTCAATTTGCAGCATCCCCGCCTCGGTGGAACACGTGCTGTGTGTCTGCTTGGAGTTCCAGAAGCTACGCGAACAACATGGACTCCCGGAGAACAT